GGGACAAGCCGAAGGGGCTGCACCTGCAGTCCCCGGGAACCCAGCCTCCCGCTGAACCAGCTCGGAAGCCAAGATTCCCAAAGAGATCACCCATCATTAAACAAAATTGCAGGGTAACTTCCTGCTGCTGTGAGGCTGCGGACAGCAGGAGCCCAGCCATCTGGGTCTCAGCCGCCCTGCCCCCAGCACACACGCACGCGCACGCGCGCACACATCTTCCCTCGGCAGCCTTGGCTCGGCCACATGTTATCCTGAGATCCTTCCTTCCCAGGAGCCTCCGTACTGTGTGGGGCAGGCAGGGTGGGCCGAGCCAGCCAGGCTGGCCTCTCACAAACAGGGCGCCGTGGCTAGAGAGCTATCTCCTGCCTGCCAGGTTGCCAAAGGTCATGGCAGCTATGAAGCCGTGGTGCCCTTTCCTCACGGGGGGCTCCGCAGCAAACCCTGGGGCACAGAGCTCAGGAAAGGGGAATCCAAGCACCTGGGAGACAGGGCGAGGATCTTGCCTCTGTCCACCAGGGAGGACGGGCTGGGCTGGAAGAGGTCGGTACCCTTCCCAGGACTTCCAACATGTTAGCTCCCCTCCACAAGAGACCCGGGAATAGCAAATACTGCTTTCTAGCAAGAATGGAGGGGCCAGCAGGTGGCGTGGTGCTGAAGGCACAGGACAACCACATGGTCGACGGCGGTTCGAGTCCTGGACCTGGAGTTCTGCTTTCTCTCGTTCTCCCTCTCTCTATTTCTCTCTGGTCAGGTTTTAAAAAAGAAAATAATGATAAATAAAATGAAATTAAAATAATATATATTTTGAGGCTAGTAGGTGGCGTGGTGGTTAAGGGTGTTGGACTCCCGCATGGCTGTGGTTCGAATCCTGGACCAGGCTGCTTGCTTTGTCACTTTCCCTCTCTCTCTCTCTCTCACTCTGTCCTCTCTGGTCAAATTAAAACAAATTCAAGTTAAATAAAATAATTCTTTAAACATACATAAGGATAAAGATCCCCCCTTGCCTTTGGGATAAAAACAGAACAAAAACAAAAAATAAACCAGTGTTACAGAATAGCGTCCTCTTTCGTGATGGAATTTGTATCTCACTCTGGAAGAAGTAACTCTCCAGGATGAAAATCAGGTGTCAGTAAAACTGAGTTGACGAGAACAGACTGGAGGGCCTCCCACTTTTGGATGCCAGCAGCATCATGCCCTCCGGCCCTGCGTTCCCTTTGACCTTCAGCCCTGGTTGTCCAAGGAGCTCGAGCTCAACTCAGGCGCCTGGTTCCCGGCTTCTCAGCTTTGTCTGCAAAACCGAATGCGTTTTGAATGGAATGAGTCACAGAAGAATTTGAACCAGGTCTGAAAATGAAATTTCCTGCCTGTGGTTTGATTCACGCCCGTCTGTGAATCTGCCCCAAGGACATCCATTCCATTGTGTCGGGCGGGTCTCTGCCAAGCTCCAGATGCCGAGTGGGAAGGGACAATCACCCGGGTGCAGACAGGAAGCTGGTACAGCCACTGCACAGCCCAGGCTGCCGAGGAGCTGCATTCAGAGAGCACCACCCAGACTCTCCCCCAGCAGTCTCTGCAGTGGACGGTGCAGCCTAGATTTCAATTTATCACCCAAAGCACGCGTCCATGCAGTCTGGCCTCCCTCCCAGAGGCTCCTGGAGAAATGAGGGACTGGGAATCTCAACAGTCCTTGCAGTCTTCTGTGTCTGTCTCGATGGTGCTGACAAGCCACTATTCCAGACAACCCACCGTCCCCGTCTGCCCAGGACACAGCATATTCCCTGTTAGCACCAGGAAGTCCCGGGCAAACCAGGCTGGCTGGCAGCCTGTGCTATGCTAAGGACTCGTGTCCAGCAGGAGGAAACAGACAAGGACTTGCAGTTTCTGGGAACCTGCCGGGAGTACAGACGGATTCTCTCGTGGGGCTCAGTGTGGCGAGGAAGTCCCTGAGGCCGCCCACTCTGTGACTAGCCAGTTGGGACACGGTTCTCCAATTGCCAAACGCTGCCGGCTCAGTACTAGAGGGTCACTGTAACTGCAAAGTGTAATTTCAGCCTCAAGCCCCAGAGCCTCCTGTGCAGAGTGTGCGCACCCAGATCACCTGGAAAACTGTGGGCTGTGCAACCCGCAGCCCCAGCCTGGCCTGTCTGATCCCCACGCTGTTCGGTGCACAGGTAGCTGGCGGGAAGTCCTGCTCCACAAACGGCAACACGAATGTCACAGAACAGTACCTTTACCTGTGAGAAGCCTGCTGACGCCCTCAGCAGTCAAGAACCCAGGCTTTGAGTGGCCTGCTGTCAAGTTTTGAAGGGCAGTTGTGCATGTTTTTGAATAAAGCGGGGAAAACAAAGCAATTATTTCTACGTGACAGCATTTTTGCTTGGTTTGGTTTTGTCGGGGTGTATGTGCTCACCAGAGAGACAGAAAGAAAGGGAAAGTGAGAAATCATCCCGGGGAGATGGCCACACCAGTTACTTCTCCTCCTCCCTCCTCTCAGGAGTTTAGACGTGCACTTGCATTCCCGGCATGATTTTCACGCGGCCAGGTCTGGCACTTGAACTGCTCTGTTGGCCATGTAGGGACCAGTCACTTTAACCTCAGCACCTGCCGGCCACGACAGAAATGCCTCTCTCCCTGCCTCGTGCGTACCGAAAGCAGAGGACTGACGCTGCGCTGTCCGACATGCCCGCTGCTCCGGCCTTCCACTCGCCTCACTGTGTCCAGCAACTCGGCTCCCATAGACTCCAAACGCCCAGCCTTTCTGTTCTGTGTTAAGTAGAAATGTTAGGAAAGGCGAGACGAGGGCCAGCCCATGGCCTGGTGGCTAAGGCAACTGGACCCCACATGGCTGACTGTGTGGTTCAAGTCCAAGACCCTGTCACCAGGCGGTGCTTTGCCTTCTCTGCACCGTGTCTCTCCTGCAGCGAGATATCTCTGAGGACATGAGGACGCCTGTGGGACCCCTCGCAGCACTGGTGCAGGCACACAGCGGGCAGCCCGAGGCCACACCACCAGGGCGGAATGAGCTGGCCGTGAGCACTGACAGCGCAAGCCCGCAGTGTCAAATCAGAGACAAATCAAACAGCCTCTTACTAAGCTCCACTTCGTGTGATCTTTATTCCATTTGCTGTTATAAACTACTTCTGGGAAGACCTAACGGCAGGAACTGCTGTCTTCCAGGCCTAAGGACACATGGCAGGAGCCGAGTACAACAGCGGCTTTAGAACACTTTGACCCCGGTGCACTCCGAGCCCACGCAGTCTTCATACGGGAATGTCGGAGGAATGACAAGAATCTCGGAGGTGAATGCCCGACGGGAGGAGGACTCAGAGAATATTGTCTAGAAATAAAAACTGAAATTAGAGATGTGGGAAAGAGGACTTAAAGCCCTGGCTAAGGCCTGAAAAGGGCCCTGAGGCCTGACCAGGAGCCGGCCCTGGGACTTTGTTAATGAGCCGGTGTCCCCGCTGTTCCCCCAGCTTCTGGAAGTTCTAACTGTCAGACACACAGCAGCACCATGCCGGTGCCACCCCTGAGCACTAGCAGTGCCACCTGCCACCCTCTGAGCTGCCGTGGCAGCAACCATGCCTCCCGGAGGTGCTCACTCCACCCCAGACCTGCAGAGCAGCAGCTCTGGCCACAGGCTCACGCATAGAACCTGACGGCCCCAGTCACTGTGCGAACACAGCATCGCTCACCGTCTTGGCAGCAAACGTGAGTGCAGACAAGAGGCCACACAACCTGGCCCACCCTGGTAGGGTGACAGTGGAGACGGTGGCGGGAAGAGGTTTGGCAGGCTTTGCCCGTGACTAGAGCTGCAGAATGAAGAGTGGTCTAGACAGGGCCAGCCTGCTTTCCCTGGGACCTTCTGGGTCTTTCTACTCCGGGGAAGCAGCGGCGCCCGCATTCTGCTCCACAGTCCATCCTGTTGCGACTCCAGGACCTCACCTCAATAAAGAAGGCCCTCCAGCCAACGTAAGGCTCCTGCACCACCTTCCTGTAAACTCCAGGAGCCTGTGTTAACACAGAGCGAAATGTCACCCCCACTGCAAGGCTGAGTGTGGAAGTAATAGGCCTCCTGTCAGAGCGCCACTCCCCCTTGCAGCCTGCACAGTCCCTGCCCTGCAGCACTCTTCCTGTCTGACATCCAGTCCTCAGCTTCTGTCTAGTACAGAGGCACTGTCTCCTGAGCCTAATACAGCTCTCCAGGCTGGGCGTGGTGGGTCTCGCTGTTTTCCAGGGAGAGTGGTGTCTAGATGGATCCTTAGGAGACCAGTCCTCCCTGGAAATACCAGAAGTGTAACGGAGATCTCAGCTATCCTTAGAGCATTAGGGAGAAGGCTGCGGTTTCTCTGGGTTTTATATTAGACAAAGAAATACACGGCAAGTGTGTATAGGCTCTTGTGCACCCAGGAGCGGTCAGGCAGAGTGCTAGCGCTCAAGCCAGTGGCTCCTCCAGGCCGCCTCCATCACATGGTGGCCAATGACATATCTGGTTACATGTGGCCACCTTGCCTGGAGGTGACGGTGCCGTTTCAGACTTCTCTGTGTCTGCAAGTGTCTCGTTCCCAGCTGTGTTTCACGAATGAATGTCCACATAAAAGAGAAAGCATTGCAAGTCATGATAATGCATCGCATTTCTTCTTTCTCTCTTTCTTTTTGAGAGAGTTTTTTGCTATAGGACATGTGTGCTCACTGGAGAGGCAGAGAGAGGGAGGCAGCAAGACAGAAAGCAAGAAGTCATGCTCCACGGGGATGGGGAGGATAGCCATGCCACAATCCCTTCTCCTCTCGGAATTTTGGGCATGCACAAAGACCCTCTGGGACCTTTTCTACTTCTATTTCTACCAGGTGGTCTAGTGGTTGGGATGCCAGACTCTCACATGGCTAACCATGGCTCTAGTCCCAGAGCGGTTGGCCTAAAAGTCACCCCAGGCACATGTGTGTGTGTATACCCAAAACCCAGAGAGAAGAGTGAAGGAGAAGGGATTGAGGTGTGGCCATTCTCCCTGGGGGGCGATTTTTTACCTTCTCTCCACCTCTCTCTGCCTATCTAGCAAATGCATGACAAAAATATAAACACACACACAACTAAAGAAAGAAAGCAAACAATCCAATTAAAAGTGGGCAAAGAATCTGGCTAGACGTTCTCCGAAGAAGATATGCAAGCGCCCATTAGGCCAATGATGCTCAGCATCACAAATCATTACTGAAATGGGACTCGGAACTAAATGACATACCACTCCACAACCTCTAGGATAAAAATAATTAACCCCCCCCCGAAAAAAGCAAGCAGGTTGGTGAGGCTGGTGGAGAAATGGGCACCCCGATATACCGCTGGAAGAACGAAAGGTGCAGCTGCAGTTGAGTAATTCCTCAGGAAATTG